CGGCCGTGTTCTGGCTTCACGAGAGATACCTAGGGCATCTGTTCGCGTTAGTAGATGCGCGGCCTTTGGCCGACGAGCCGCTGTGCACCGTCAGTCCACGGCGCGTTCTGCGTGGGCATATAGTCTGTCGCGCGCAGGTCCTACTGGTCGTCGCAGTCGGGTGCAGGCGGCACGGACGACCTCTAGCTTCGGACGCCGGGCCGCGAAGTCGCGAGCGTGAGCCGAATGCGCACCTTGCAGGCTCTGCCCCCTGCGCGAACCTCCGACGCGACGCGCCAGCAGCCCGCACTGCACTGCCGGGCGCTCGCCGTATACGCGAGAGGTGCGGCACGCGCGCCGGTCGACCGGGACATCGCCAGCGTGGAGCTGAGCGACGTGGTGTTCGACACCTTCCAGGGCGAGCGATTAGCTTCCCTCGTCGGAGGCGGCCAGTGCACGTGAGCGGTACGAGAACGGTGCTGAGGTGACAGCGAGTCAAGCGCTGATCTACGAGCCGGTTTGTACGAGAGACGAGGGAGGGGGCGAGTGGCTCTCGGACGGCGAGCGACTTCGCATGAGCGGCTATGCCGCGCGGGGAGCGAGGCCGTACGCGTACGTAACGCGTGAGCTGAAAAGGATCAACTACCACGAGATCGTCCATGACCTGGTCGACGGCGTACCGATCCTGGTGTCGTACTGCCCGCTGTGCGCGAGCGCGGTGGTGTACGACCGGAGGCTGGACGACCGTGTGCTGGTGTTCGGCAACACGAGCGCCCTCTACGAGTCCGACATGGTGATGTACGATCACCAGACGGGCTCGTACTGGTTCCAGGTCGCGGGCGAGGCGATAGTGGGCGAGCTGACGGGAGGCGGCTGGAGCCGCTGCCGTCGATCAGATCTCTTGGGGGGAGTGGAAGGCGTCTGCACCCGGACACGCTGGTGCTGAGCAGGGACCTCGGCCTCATTCCGAGCGGGGGCAGCCGGTATGATGTGGACCGCTTCGAGAGTTACCCGGAGCGGCTGGACACGGTGGGGCCGCCGTTCCCGGTCAGCGCCGAGAAGATGGACGTGCGGCTCCAGGAGCGTCGGACAAGGTGCTTGCGGTCGAGGCAGGGGGCAGCCGCAAGGCGTACTTCCTGGTGCCGGGGAGGCAGTGGCTGGTGAACGACACGGTCGGCGGCAGGAACATCGTGATACTCGTCCGTGAGAGCACGAGCCCTGGAGCCCGGGCCTTCCTCAGCGATGTGGCCGGAACGACGCTGAAGTTCAGGCCCATCGATGGGGTTATGGTGGATAATGAGACCGGAAGCCGCTGGGACGACACGGGACTGGCGATCTCGGGACAGTTGGAAGGGATACGGTTGGAAGCGGTTCCGTCCCGCACGAGCTTCTGGTTCTCGCTCGTGGGTGCTTTCCCGGGCATAGACCTGCTGATTCCAGGCAACGACGGGAACTGAGGAGAGTGAAATTGTCGAAGGGCGGCGAGGTCAATCGAGAGCCTCCTGACGCGCACGCGGTGGTCACCGAGTACGCCGAGGAGCTTCTGGACGCGCCCCGGGCACACTTGGTACTGGAGCTCTCGCAGGACAGCGAGGGGCTGAAGCTCGTCTACAGGGACGGACTGCTCGTGGAGTGCCGCCTGACGCGCCAGGGGATGGCCGCCGGGGCGTACATGGCCAAGGCGCGCTGGGCGTCAGGATCCCGGCGCTGGGTGAGACGGTGCGCGCCAGGGTTTCCACCGGCGTGCTGTTCCGCGCGATGTCGATAGCGAGCCTCGACTTCGACGAGGAGGCGTCTATGGTCGTGCTGTCGCGCCTGCTGGACGAGGCGGAGATGCAGCGCGGGGGCGTGTCGGAGATCTGACGGACCAGACGGCGGAAGGGGGTAGTGGGAATTGATGGGCTACTCCCCGTGGCGTGCAATTTCGCTTCACCAGCGTGCCTGATCCAAATTGGCCGGACCTATCGCAAACGTCAGCGGACCAAGGTGTTGGGGGAATTGAATCCACTTCTGCTGCCCAACGGCGTCAACTAGGCCTTTACTGTACGACTGGCTAGGTGTGATTAGATACACTAGCACCCCTTGGCCATGTAGATCCGCAACCAAGTTCTCATACTTCCCATCCTTGGTGATCAGGACTAGAACAGAATCTTGGGGTTCCTGACCACAGTCACTCTTGGCTTGAGCTGTGATTTCGTCGCCCAAGTCCTCATCGTCCTCCCAAATACGCCATCCGAGGGTTAAGAGTTCATCCGTTGCGGCGGCCTGGTTCTTCCATGCGAATGCCTTGAACCACTGGTAGGAGGGAGGCGCAAGTCGGGCATCCAGTGCACTTCGGATCCAAGTGACGAAATCCTGTACTCTGTTGGGCTGAGTACTCATGCTCTGGAAGTCCCAGATCACTAGCAGTCGAGACCTCCCCCTTGATGGTTTGGGTGCTGGCCGCCTCCGCTGGAAGAATTCAGGAGTAATGCCTCGCTCCATGGCAATCGAATGGATTGCTGCTAGTGACTCAGCGTCTGGAGTCGTCGCTCCTGTTTCCCAGCGGGAAAGGGTATTGGCTGAGATTTCGAGCAGGCCTGCCATCTTCGCCTGCTTTAGCTCCAGCAGTTGGCGTAGTTCAACGAGAGATTCCGGCCGGTACTCATACTTGCCTGCCTTGACTGGTGCCATACCTGTCCTCCTGTCGATTCGAATGATGTGCGGACAAGAATCCAGAATCATTATCCCAATCCAATATGTAGATGTCAACAGAGATAGGTATCACCACTAATCTGTAGAGGCATTTGAATGGAGGGCGTGACCTAGGGTCTGAGTAGCAGTGTCGGCGGGTTTGGATTTGACACTTCGTTTGATTGGATTGGGGGGGCCGCCGTATAATCTTGCGGTTCCAGGTAGCCCAAATGCCATGATTGACTACTCGACCCTGGCGGTAGGCCAGGAGGTCTCGCACAGGTTGATCCGCGTCGACGCCGATACCGTGACGAAGTACGTCGGCGCGGTGGACGACGCTACCGCTAGGCCCGGCGGCCCGGGGGAGGCGAAGGCTCCTCCGATGGCGGTTGCCGCGCTGGGACTGCGGGGCGTGCTGGATGACCTGGGCATCCCGAGTGGGGCCCTTCATGCCGGGCAGGAGCTCCGGTTCTCGGGCCCCGTGGACGTGGACGCAAGCCTGGTGTGCCGGGCGACGGTAACGCGCAACTCGGTCCGGCGCGGTTCGCGTTTCGTGGACATCGCCCTGTCGGTCGTGGGCAAGGAAGAGGGAGAGGTGATGTCCGGGACTACGACCCTAATCATGCCGGGCGAGGCCGGGTGATGTGGGAAGCCGGCACAGCCCTGCGTTCGGTCGAGAAGGCCATCACCCAGGAGCGGGTGGACGACTATGCGAACGCCTCCGGGGACTCCAATCCGATACACCTGGACCACGATTTTGCCGCAGGGACCCGGTTCGGTCGGACGATCGCCCACGGGATGCTGGTTGCGGCATCGATCTCGGAGATGATGACGTCGAGCTTCGGGCTCGACTGGCACGCGTCCGGCAGTATGAAGCTGCGATTCAAAGCCCCCGTGTTCCCAGGCGACACCGCCACGGCCTTCGGCGAGGTCAAGGATGTGAGGGACGCCGATCCTGATCGGGAGGTTGTGTGTACAGTGGGTGTGCGAAGACAGACTGGAGAAGAGGCGATCAGCGGCGAGGCTAGGGTCACAGTGAGGTGGGAGTCATGACGGCCGGTCCAGTGAGGATCGCGGTCGACGCGATGGGAGGGGACTACGCACCCGGAGAGGTGGTCGCGGGGGTCGTGGCCGCAGTCCGCGAGGGCGGCCTGCAGGTGGGGCTCGTCGGCGACCCGGAGGTCGTCGGCGCGGAGTTGTCCCGCCACGACGCGGGGGGACTTCCCATAATGGTGGTGCCGTCGGATGGCGTGATAGAGGAGGGCGAGCAGGCGGCGCTGGCGCTTCGGCGCAAGCCCAGGGCGTCCATCCTCGTGGCGACGGGCCTGGTGAAGAAGGGCATGGCCGACGGCTGCGTAACGATGGGGTCCACGGGCGCGGCGATGGCGGCGGCGGCGGTCATCCTGGGACTGCTGGAGGGCATCGACAGGCCGGCGCTGGGCGGGCCTGTCATCGGGCTTGCTCCGCGGACGGCAGTGATAGACGTGGGCACCAACCTGGACTGCCGTCCAGCACAGCTCTTGAATTTCGCGGTGCTTGGAAGCGTCTTCGCCAGCCTCTTCTGGGACATCGAGGTCCCGCGGGTCGCCCTGCTCAGCGTTGGCGGAGAGGTGGGCAAGGGCAACCGCCAGGTCCGGGAAGCGTCTGAGCTATTCGAGCGAACGCTGCCGAATTTCATAGGCAACATAGAGGCGAACGAGCTGCCGATGGGCAAGACCGACGTCGCGGTCGCGGACGGCTTCGTTGGGAACATCGTCATGAAGCTGACCGAAGGACTCGGCGCAGGCATCGCAGAGCTGGTCGCGGAGCGCCTCAAGGGCAGGCTGCCGGACGACCAGGTGGATGAGCTGGCTCGGGAGATATACGAGGTCAACAACCTCGTAGAAGTACACGGGGGAGGGCCGTTGCTTGGAGTGAGGGGCATAAGCGTAGTCGGGCACGGGCGCGGCAAGGCAGACGCCGTCCGCCGCGCCATCGGCACCGCGCGCCGGTCCTTCGAGGGGGACCTTGCCGGCACGCAGGCCGCACAGCTACAAAAAATACGAGAAGCCGCGCCTGAGAGCGCTTGAAAGAGGGCGAATGGACGATCGAAGTACCGAGGGAAAGACGGCGCTGGTAACCGGCGCATCGAAGGGGCTGGGACGCGCCATAGCCATCAGACTTGCCGAGCTGGGAGCCCGGGTGGCCGTGAACTACAACTCTTCCCAGGACGCCGCGGCGGAGGTCGTGGCGGCCATCGAGGGCATGGGAGGCGAAGCCTTCTCGGTCAGGGCCGACGTCTCGAAGGTCGACGAGGTGAAGGCGATGGTGGTAGAGGTGGAGGAGACGTACGGCCCGGCCGGCATCCTGGTCAACAATGCGGGCATCATCAGTGACCAGCTGCTGATGCGGATGTCCGACGAGGCGTGGCACAGGGTTATAGACATCAACCTTCACGGCACGTTCTACTGCACGCGGGCGGTGCTGCGGAACATGGTGCGGAGCCGATGGGGGCGCATCATCAACATCGGCTCGGTGGTGGGGGAGCGCGGAAATCCTGGACAGACGAATTACACGGCATCCAAGGCGGCCATGATCGGCTTCACGAAGGCGCTGTCGAAAGAGGTGGCGACGAGGAGCATCACGGTCAACATCATCAATCCGGGCTACGTGGAGACGGAGACGACGGCTGTGCTGACCGATCAGCAGCGCGACCACTGGCTCAGCGTAATACCGCAGGGCCACTTCGGGGACGCCGACGACATTGCACACATGGTGGCCTTTCTCGCGCAGGAGAGGGCGAAATACATCACCGGGCAGGTGATCTGCGTCGACGGCGGCATGGCCGTCTAGCTGGCAGATCCGGTATGTCCACAGCCGAGGAGTCGGGGCCGCTGTCGGGTAAGGTTGCGCTGGTCACGGGCGGTTCCCGGGGCATAGGGAAGGCGGTGGCGCTGGAGCTGGCGGGCCGGGGCGCGGACATCGCCTTCAACTATTTCCGCAGCCACGAGGCCGCCGCGGCGACGGAGCAGGAGATACGCGCCCTGGGCGTCGAATGCCTTCGTGTGAGGGCACACCTGGGCGACCCGGAGAAGATTGGCGAGCTGTTCACGCGGGTCACGGAGTCGTTCGGGCGGCTCGACATCCTGGTCAACAACGCCGCGTCGGGCGTTCAGCGCACGCTGGAGGAGCTGGAGGAGAAGCACTGGGACTGGACTATGGCCGTCAACGCCAAGGCTCCGTGGCTGTGCGCCAAGGAGGCGGTGAAGCTCATGGAGGGTGGCGGCCATATCGTCAACATCACGAGCGAGGGCTCACGCACGGTGCTGCCGTACTACTTCTCTGTGGGCACGTCCAAGGCCGCTCTGGAGGCGGTCACGCGCTATATGGCTGTCGAGCTTGCGCCCAGGGGTATCGTGGTCAATGCGGTTTCGGGGGGGTATGTGGAGACCGACGCGCTGGCGCATTTCCCCAACCGCGACGAGATGCTGGAGTCAGGCCGGCGGAGTCCAGCAGGCAGGTTGGTGACGTCGGCGGACATCGCCCGCGTGGTCGCGTTCCTGTGTACCGACGACGCCTCGATGATCCGCGGGCAGGTCGTCGTCGTCGACGGCGGGGCGACGCTGGGCCCTCCCGGGTAGGCCCGCGAACTCGGGCGCCCAGCGACTGTCTGGAGGCGTCATTGGAGCGTATCGAAGGCCCGGGACGATGCTTGTGGACCGCCTGCCGAATCCGCTGCCCCGGCAACCCTAACATCACGCCGTTCTGATAGAATTGGACATGAGAGAAGACGACGACGCGGGGGCAAGACATGAGCAGGGATACGTCTGAGTTCATTGCGGTACTTAAGATCATGGCGGCGGTGCTGGCCCTAGAAGCATTCGCGGCGGTGCTATTGTGGGGAGCGACCGCACGGGCTGATGGCGTTCACCCGGGCTCGTGCGACCTGCCGGGCTTTTCGCCTGAGCTGCACGAGCATCGGGACTGGCTCGACGAGATTACGGGCGGCGACGTGCCGTATCTTTGCATCCCGGCTCCAGAAACCCCCACACCCGCGCCAACACCTATGCCAACCCCGACACCTGAGCCGACTCCTGAGCCGACTCCTGAGCCGACGTTGAGCCAGACTTGAGTCCATATGGCTAGCAACGGAGATAGCGCGGTACTGCCTGATAAGGACGCTGAACTTTGAGATCGTTGGGCACGAGGGCGACTGCGGCCTGTTCTACGGCGAGCCGTTCATAGAGTAGGGATGGTGCGGGCACGAATTGAGATGGCCCAGACCCGCCTGAGCGGCGGCAGCACAGGCTAGGTCTGGCAGGTCACGTTCACGTGGGTACCTGCGTCCGACGTCAAACGGGAGCCAGCGTCTGACAGAGCCTTCCTGACATATCCGAGGCCGAGCGCCGTTCCCGTGCGCGGGTCCCGGATAGCGGACGTGACGACGCCGGCCCGTCTGCCGTCCAGCATGAGCTTCGCCCCGACGTCAGACCTCGGCGTCTGAGGGCCATGCGAGGCGTACCAGGCGCTTCTGCACCTTGTCGTAGGTCGTGAGCCGCGCGATTACCTCCTGGCCGATGTAGCAGCCCTTGGTGTAGCTGACCATGTGCTGCAATCCGGCTTCGAGGGGGTTGTAGTCTCGCTCAGCTCGGCTCCGAAGCAGGGGACTCCCTGCTCTATGCGCGCCAGCTCGACGGCATCGCGCCCGGCAGGGAAGCGCCCGGCTTCCGTGACGGCTTCTCGCAGCGCCGGGGCGTCCGAACCTGACGCGATGAGGTCGTAGGCTGGGATGGCGCCCAGGTCTCGGCGTATCGCGGTCTGCCTGTACGCCGTCGATGGCGACCTCGGCGCATATTCATTCCCGGCAGGCGCAGTGTCGGCCCGGCGAGGGAGGCCAGCAGTCCGGCTGCGTCCTGGGCCCGATGAGGGACACGTGCTGTCTAGCCGCAGTGACATCCTCGACCTCGGTGTCCTCGATGATGGTGTAGAAGTCGATCCACTCTGCGACCCTGGTCTCGTTCCCGCCGCCGGTCAGCAGCAGGAGATGGTCGGGCGCCTGAGGACGAATATCACGTCGACGATCCGGCCCTTGTTGGACGTGAGGACGGTGTGTGCGCCGGACCCGACAGGCAGGTCCATGAGGGAGTTGGTCGAGAGGCGGTTCAGGAGGTCGAGGGCGTCCTCGCCAGTGCAGCGGAGGCGGCCGAATGGGCGGTCTACGAGGGCGACGCCCTTCGTAAGGGCATCGTACTGCCGGAGATGGTCGTCGGCTGCCAGGAGCCGCCCGTCAGACCCCGAAAGAGGTGCCGCAGCCGCAGCTGGTCCTCGCGTTTCGGGTTGTTGAAGACAAAGCCCTTGCCGTTTAGGCCGCCGGAGTATTCAAGGATCGTGCCGGCGAGGAAAACGTAGGACTTGCGGTCGATGCCGAGCTTCAGGCCGTACTCCTCGACTATCTTGTCGTCCTCGGGGAACTCGTCGACGAGATCGAGCACGTAGGTAAGCCCCGAGCAGCCTCCTCCCTTGACTCCGACGCGCAGGTGAGAGTCGGTCTTCCCCGACATCTTGGCGAAGTGCCTCACGTGCTCGGCGGCCTCGGGGCTGATGCTGATCGTGAGCGGCTTGGGCTTTTCTCTGGTGGCGACCACGTCAAGCTCCTTTGGTGGCTTCACCTCCATTCTAAGGCCGGACGCAGCGCCAGTCAATGTTGACAGTGGCTATATGGACTACACACCTTGAATTACAAGCTGTAGTCCCGAAAGCTATCGGAGAACTGATTGTTGGCAAAGAGGAAGCGGGCAAATGGTCTTGGGGTAGTGTCTCAGAGCATTTCCAGGTCTGCCCACTTCTTCAATAATCGCAAGAGAACTGTAGGTGGATGTTCTTCGCCGCTGGTCAAGAAGACAATCCCAACGTTTTCTCGGATGATCGTATCCCTTTCTGCCGCAACCTTAAGCATCCGCTTGTTGCAGCTGAGTACAAGCCACTCCTGTCGACCTGCCCTTGTTAGCCAGAACTCATCGGGGCGTCCTCCCCATGACATGCCTACTATGGAGCGAGCGTCGTATCCTATTGCGGTGAGGGCTCTCGGTACTCCAGTCCCGACGTCCTCGTCGCACAAGAGGATCAAGCGGCGATCCTCTCCCCGTACTGCAGAGCTGTCTCTACGAGGTCAGGCTCCATTTCGAAGTCTTTAGCAATGAAATCAATGCGAAGGCCGGCCTTGAATCGATTGCGGATTGCTTGCACTGTCACCCCGCGTCCCTTGATTACCGGCAGACCCGTGCTTAGCTTGGGGTCAACAACGATAGGCACGGCCTTACCTATAGGGAACCATCGAGATGCGAGCTCGTCGTCATACTCGATTTGGTCGATCGTTTCGCGCAACAGCCCCGGCAAAGTCCATTGTTCTGGGGCGTCTAGGGATTGATAGCTGGCTATCGAGCTACCCTCTCTCAAGAAGTGAACAATGTGACCACCTAGCGCTTCCAATCTCATGTGGGCAAACGGGTACTCGATGCCCCACGACTCTCGTGCGTTGACATAGGCGTCTCGCACCGCACGGAACGGAACACTCTTCCCCCCCAATGCGCTCTTACGGAACCGTCCAGCGACCATGATTTCTATCATCTGAAGGAAAGAGACCATGGCAGCATCGCTGGATGGAAAGAGGGGTGGAACATCCCTGCCCTTGACCGTATATCCGAATAGCCAGTTCTTGACCGTTGAGGTAGAGACGTTCGCTAAGTGCGCGGCCTCGCTATAGCTGTACATGGACTCGGTCCGCCAGCCGTTAAGAGCCTCATGTCCGTTGGTCACCTGGATCATTCAACTAACCTCCACGGTACCAGGATCAATGGACCGCCCGACGCTAGGGGTAAGCCAGGCCCTCTGAGCGGTCATCCCGAGGCAAGGCCGTATGCAAAGCAACCGTGACACTAGCATACCACTCCACTTCAAGTAATGTGAGGAGGTGACTGGGGGGCGTCGGCCATGACCATCTGGGCGACCTGTTTGCCCATGCGGACGCTGTAGTTGGTGCCGCGATCCTGGGGGTAGACCTGCGTGGTGTTGGCCAGATAGACGCCATTCAGCGGCGTCCTGTGGTCGGGCATCACCTTCGAGTAGTGGGTGCCGATCACCGGCTGGGCCGCGTTGACCTTCTGGTGGTAGCTCTTGACGACCCACGACGCGTCGAAGGAGGGGTTGACCTTGCGGAGGTGGGGGACACACTCGGCTAGCAGCTCCTTGTGGCCCAGGCCGTACAGGCGGTCGCTCCGTTCGAGGTAGTTGGACAGGTAGACCAGGTGCTGTCCGCCGTAGTGCTCCGGCGGTATCAGGTTCGTGTGCTCTATCACGCCCACGAAGGGCATGGACCGGTCGGCGACGTTGAGCCAGTAGATGTGGGACAGGGGCCTGTCCAGCACGAGAATTAGCAGGACCGCCGCGAGGTACTTGGTGCTCTCGAGCCGCTCCCTGTACTCGCCGGAGAGGTCGGGGGCGAGCCTAGTGAACATGTACGAGTGGGTCGTGGCGATCACGGCGTCGAACTCCTCCCTCCCACGCCCTCCGTCGGGCCCTTCGTACTGCAGGGCAGGGCGGCCATCCCCCGACACTATGCGGGTGACGGGCGTGGACAGGTGGACCGCGTTGCCGTGGGCCTCGATTTTCTCCGCGAGCACGTCGAAGAACTCGCCGAAGCTGCCGATGGGGTATCCGAGGCTCTCGCGGGCCAGCCCCTTCTCGCGGGAGGCGAACCGGGTGGCGATCTTGCCCCATATCCACGGCATGCCGATCTCGCTGTAGTAGTTCTCGCCGAACTTGCCGCGCAGCATCGGCCCCCAGAAGCCCTCGAATGCGCCCTCGCCCGCCCACTTGCGGAGCCACTCGACCGCCGTCACCGACTCGAGCTTCCGCCAGTCCCTGATGCGCTGCAGCGGCGAGCGTCGCACACGCCCAGACGGATGCGGTCCACGAGGCTTAAGGGCTTGAAGCGGAGCAGGTCCATGGGGGTGACGAAGTTGTAGATGCGGCCGTCGTACAGGGTGCCGACGCTGGAGTCGATCCACGTCATGCGGTCTCCCAGGCCGATTTCCTCGTTGAGCCCTATGATGTCGGTGTCGCTGGTGAACAGGTGGTGGTAGCCTCGCTCCGATCCTCGCTCCGCCCACGTCGAAGGTCGAGCGGCCTGGCCCCCCATGAAGGGGCGCGCTCGTACACGACGACATGATGGCCCTGCTGCCGAGCTCGTAGGCCGCCGCGAGCGGCCGCGCCCCGCTCCGATTATGCCGACCCTCATTCCGCGCCCCCCTGCTGCCCGGCGGGCAAGCTCCGCCCGCCGCCGCCAGAGGTTGCGGAGAGAGAGGCCGTCGGAGACCAGGATGGCCTGGCCGAGGGCGATTACGGGCAGGAGGAGTATCGCGTGTACGACGGCAGCGTACGCCCCCGCTACGGAGCGGTCGACCACGGCGAGGGGCAGGAGCACCAGCGTCTCTCGGGCGATGAGCTCGAAGAAGCCTATGCCGCCGGGGCTGGACGGCACGGCTGCGCCTATGTTGGCAAGGGCCATGGCGAGTACAAGGGCGGCCGCCATCTCCGCCTCGGTGCCGTAGGCGAGATGGAGGTCGAATGAGTACCCGACCACGAAGAAGAGGCCGCCCTCGAAGAGCCAGACGGGCACCGATAGGGCCAAAAGTACCAGCACGGAGGAGGGGCTTCGTAGGGCCTCCAGCGCGTGAATGAACTTCTCCACCAAGCCACGGGCACGCGACCTTGCGGCCTCAGGCAGGAGGCGCAGCGCGGCCTCGGCAACGTGCGTGGCACGCGCCGGCCAGTACGCGACCGCCACGAGCGCGGTGAAGGCCGCCGCGAAGGGCACGCTTACCGCTGCGGCCAGCAGGGGCCACGGCACGCTCGACCTGTCGCCGAAACCCTCGGCCACCGTGTTCAGGGGCACGAAGACGGCTATCACGGCTACGAACACTATGAGGGGTGAGTGCGTCCATCAGTCGCTCTATGAGGATGGTTGCGAGCGCCGCGGTCTTGCTTACGCCCTCCCGCTCGCCGACGTAGTAGCTGCGCACTAGCTCTCCAAGGCGCAGCGGCAGTAGGTTGTTGGCCATGTACCCCACAACCACCACAGGGTAGAGCCTTGGGATCGGGACCTCCCGCATGTGGCGCATCAGCATCTGCCAGCGGGCAGTCCGGAACAGCAGGGAGACCTGGTAGAGAAGGACGGCGGGGACGACGTACCAGTAGTTTGCCCCGGCGAGGGCGTCGACGAGCCGGTCCCAGTCGGTGGTGACGAAGAAGAGGGCCAGGGCTGCCGCCCCGAGGCCCAGCCCGAACCAGAACCTCTTGCTGATCCTCACCCGGCGTTCACCGGGCGACCGGGGCGCAGGATGGCGAAGGAGCTGGTGTAGCCGTGGATGAATGTCGAGCCGCCGACTGGGCCGATCTCGCCGTTGCAGAAGAAGCCGGTGAGCGGCATCCCGTTCACCCTCTCTCTGAACATGTCCGTGTCGTGGTCGGGTTTGCCGTAGAGGTGCGAGCCGCGCCCGAGACACGAGAAGAGGAGCGCGCCCGTCTCCTCGTAGAGGGGCGTCTCTGCGGCGTACCTGGATAGCATAGAGCCCAGGTCGAGGGCCGACGTCTCGGCGTCTCTCAGGTGGAACTGGACTGTCTGTCCCTCCCGGAGCAGCTCGGACACGGCAAGTATCCCCTGCTTGTGGTCGGCTCCCACGAGATTGCGAATCAGGAAGTCGCCAAGCTGGGGGTCCTCGTTGAGCGGGTCCATCACCACTCCGAGGAAGAGGGAGTTCCGGGCCAGTTGCTGGTCCCTCTCATTGAGGCCGCGGAATACTGCTCCCAGGACTTCGAGGGGCTTCTGCCCGTCGAGCTCTTGCAGGATGTTGCGGTCGCAGGCCGTGACTTGCATGGGCTCGCCGATGGGCCTGCATCCCTGTGCAACGATGGTGTCGAAGGTGATGTTGCCGTGGAGAGCGATGCCAACCGCTCCCGACGAGTGGACCTGCTTGCCAGCGTAGAGGGCGTTCTTGCCGGGCCCCGAGGCCCCGCTCGCCATACCCCCGACCTTCGGAGAGGACGGGAAGGCGTAGTCGAGGCCCTCTACGAGACGCTCGGCCGAGATGGTGTAGGGGTCGGTCAGCAGGATGAAGCCGGGCTCCGAGGACCTCGGCACGCCCACCAGGTCTTCCCAGGCCTCGGGCGGCGCGTCGCCGTCGGGGAGGTCCTCGTCCTCGACGTGGAATGGGGCCGCCGTCGCGCCGGGCAGCAGCGCGGTTGTGACGGCCAGGCCGGGGCTGTTCTCGACCTCGCGCCCCGCGCCTATGACACCGGCGGCGGAACAGCCGACGGTCGGCGCAGAGCCGAGACGGCGCTCCAGCAGGTCGGGGAGGCGGTCCTGCGCGGCCGCATGGTGGGCCGACACGAACACGATCGCGAGGTCGGCGTCGCTGTAGACGTCCTCGGCGCACTCGACGACGGCATCCTCCAGCGTAGGTTCCCGGGAAACGGCCGAGCTCCACTTCATGCGTCTATGAGTCCCATTCGTCGTCGGGCGACGCTTCGAAACCGAGTCCCTCGAGTGTCTTGCTGAGGGTCGGCAGCCAGTCGCGGGTCGGAGCCTCGGCAGGCGCGCGGATCTCAAGTGTGCCGTCGTCCAGGGTCGCCGCTCCCCCCATGCCCTCCTTGTCCAGGGGGACGCTGATCGACTCGCGGTCGATCCCGAAGAGGTCGGTGACCTCGTAAATTGCCATCATGTCGTCCATGCCGATGATGTCGTCAGCCATGAGCCTTGTCTGTGACCCCGCAATCTTTAGGATCAATTATTGCATCGTGTCGCAGGCTCGGCAAATCTGGCGTTCTCCTTGACGCGGTCAGGTGACTAGGGCCGGAAGATGTTACAGGTTTCCGATTACCAGTCTCCCATCCGGGCACTGTTAGGAGGGGATGGATTCCCGTCTCCGTATCAAGTACGGGGCAGGCTTCACGAGACCACCATGGCCTTGCGAAGGCCACGTAAGGGGATGAAGATGGGCTCCCTATCGTTTCAATGTAGGCTGGAATCCAAGGGCGTGGTGACTGGATACCGGCTTCGCCTGTATGACGGTGTTAGGCGCGGGGCGGCTATCTTCATGGTAATGACGGTATGGATGACTTGGGCCTCCTGCAGGGGATAGTATCTGTCAGAGGGGGTTGGGTTCGGTGTCAAGGGAGTTATGGCAGTCGCCGAAGGGTCAGGCCCCACCGGGGCGCAAGGTTAGGGCCTTTGTGGCGGTCGATCTGCCGGATGAGGTCGGGCGGATCCTTGGAGCGACGGCGCAGATCCTCA